CACTTAGCTGCTAGAGGAACATCCCTGGTCTGTTGTGATGCTGCTTGTATGATGCTTGAGCCCAGGCACCTCTTTCATTACAAATGAGGCATTGGCTGCAGATGGGTGGAGATTCCAGCTTCTCCCACTCCCACATTCCCATAGATTAGTGCTGTACCCTCCAGCCCCACCTCTGCTCAGTCCCAGCACAGCAACATATGGTCGGGGGGGAGAAGGGAGCACAGACTGACCCATTGATCACAGAAATGGCGGGGATGATGTGGGGTAATTTAAAGAACTAGCTAATGACACAAAAACTAACAGTTTTTTTTAAGTACACCGGACACTGGAACCCATCCAAGCAGACAGTGGTTCCACTGGATAATTGAGCTGCTAAAGGGGCACTCCAGGAAGACACGACCATTGAAGAAAAGCTGAATGATATTTTTGCATCAATATTTACTGCAGAGGATGTGAGGGAGTTTTGCACACCTGAACCATTCTTTTTAGATGACAAATCTGGGGAACTGTCCCAGGTTGAGATGTCAAGAGTGGAGGTTTTGGAACAGGATGATAAATTAAACAGTAATAACTCACCAGGACCAGATGCTATTCACCCAAGAGTTCTGAAGGAACTCAACTATGAATCTCTAGAACTACTAACAGTGGTATATAACCTGTCATTTAAATCAGCTTCTGTACCAGGTGACTGGAGGATAGCTAATGTGATACCAATTTTTTAAAAAGGCTCCTGAGGCAATCCTGGCAATGACAGGCCGGTAAGTTTATTTCAGTACCAGACAAATTGGTTGAAACTATAGGAAATAACAGAATTATCAGACACATAGATGAACACGATTTGTTTGGGAAGAATCAACACTTTTTTTGTAAGGGGAAATCATGCCTTACCAATCTATTAGAAATCATGCCTCACCAATCTATTAGAAAGGCCAAAGCACAAAACAAGATCAAACTAGATAGAGACATAAAGTGTAACAAGAAAACATTCTACAAATACATTAGAAGCAAGAGGAAGACCAAGGACAGGGTAGGCCCATTACTCAATGGGGTGGGTGGACAATAACATAAAATGTAGAAATGGCAGAGGTGCTTAATGACATCTTTATTTTAGGTTTTCAACAAGAAGTTTGGTGGTGATTGGACATCCAACATAGTGAATGCCTGTGAAAATGAAGTAGGATCAGAGGCTAAAATAGGAATGAACAAATTAAAATTACTTAGATAAATTAGACAGCTTCAAGTCACCAGGACCTGATGAAATGCATCCTAGAATACTCAAGGAGCTGTCTCAGGAGATATCTGAGCTACTAGCGATTATCTTTGAATAGTCATGGAAGACAGGAGAGATTCCAGAAGACTGGAAAAAGGCAAATATAGTGCCAATCTATGAAAAAGGAAATAAGGACAACCCGGGGAATTACAAACCAGTCAGCTTAACTTCTGTACCTGGAAAAATAATGGAGCAAATAATTAAGCACTCAATTTGCAAACACCTAGACAATAATAAGGCGATAAGTAACAGTCAGCATGGATTTGTCAAGAACAAATCATGTCAAACCAACCTGATTGCTTTCTTTGACAGGGTAACAAGCCTTGTGGATAGCGGGGAAGTGGTAGACATGGTATATCTTGACTTTAGTAAAGCTTTTGATACTGTCTCACATGACCTTCTCATAAACAAACTAGCGAAATTCAACCTAGATGGAGCTACTATAAGGTGGGTGCAAAACTGGTTGGAAAACCAGTCCCAGAGAGTAGTTATTGGTGGTTCACAGTCATGCTGGAATGGCATAATGAGTGGGGTCCCGCAGGGCTCAATTCTGGGTCCAGTTCTGTTCAATATCATCAGTGATTTAGATAATGGCATAAAGAGTACACTTATAAAGTTTGCAGATGATACCAAGCTGGGAGGGGTGGCAAGTGCAAGTGCTTTGGAGGACAGGACTAAAATTCAAAATGATCTGGACAAACTGCAGAAATGGTCTGAAGTTAATAGGATGACATTCAATAAGGACAAATGCAAAGTACTCCACTTAGGAAGGAACAATCAGTTGCACACATACAAAATGGGAAATGACTGCCTAGGAAGGAGTATTGTGGAAAGGGATCTAGGGGTCATAGTGGACCACAAGTTAGATATGTGTCAAAAGTGTAACAAAAAAGCTAACATAAAAAGTGTTGTAAGCAAGACATGAGAAGTAATTCTTCCACTCTACTCTGTGCTGATTAGGCCTCAACTGGAATATTGTGTCCAGTTCTGGGTGCCACATTTCAGAAAAGATGTGGACAAATTGGAGAAAGTCCAGAGAAGAGCAACAAAAATGATTAAAGGTCTAGAAAACATGATCTATGAGGGAAGATTGAAAAAATTGGGTTTGTTTAGTCTGGAAAAGAAAAGACTGAGATGGGACATGATAACAGTTTTCAAGTACATAAAATGTTGTTACAAAGAGAAGGGAAAATATTTTTTCTTCTTAACCTGTGAGGATAGGACAAGAAGCAATGGGCTTAAATTGCCGCAAGGGAGAATTAGGTTGGACATTAGGAAAAACTTCCTAGCTGTCAGGGTGGTTAAGCACTGGAATAAATTGCCTAGGGAAATTGAGGAATCTCCATCACTGGTGATTTTTAAGAGCAGGTTAGATAAACATCTCTCAGGGATGGTCTAGACCAGTGCTTCTCAAAGCCGGTCCGCTGCTTGTTCAGGTAAAGCCCCTGGCTGTCCGGGCCAGTTTGTTTACCTGCCCCGTCCACAGGTTTGGCTGATCATGGCTCCCACTGGCCGCGGTTCACCTCTCCAGGCCAATGGGAGCTGCGGGAAGCGGCGCGGGCCAAGCGATGTGCTGGCTGCCCTTCCGGCAGCCCCCATTGGCCTGGAGCAGCGAACCGCGGCCAGTGGGAGCTGCGATTGGCTGAACCTGCGGACGCGGCAGGTAAACAAACTGGCCCAGACCACCAGGGGCTTTCCCTGAACAAGCGGCAGACTGGCTTTGAGAAGCACTGGTCTAGATAATACTTAGTCCTTCCATGAATGCAGGGGACTGGACTGATGACCTCACAAGGTCCCTTCCAGTCTTCTGATTCTATGATTCCATGAGAATTCTTTGAGGGATTCAACAAATATGGGAACAAGGGTGATCCAGTGGATATAGTATACTTGGACTTTCAGAAAGTTTTTGACAAGGTCCCTTACCAAAGGCTCTTAAGCAAAAGTAAGCAGTCGTGGGATAAGAGAGAAGGATCTCTCATGGCTCAGTAACTGGTTAAAAGATAGGAAACAAAGGGTAGGAATAAATGGTCAGTTTTCAGAATGGAGAAGTAAATAGTGGTGTCTGCCAGGAATCTGTACTAGGACGTGTTCAACATATTCATAAATGATCTGGAAAAAGGAGTAAACAATGAGATGACAAAGTTTGCAGATGATACAAAATTTCTCAAGATAATTAAGTCTAAAGCAGACAGAAAAGTATTAGAAAGGTATTTTATAAAACTGGGTGATGGCAACAAAATGGCAGATGAAATTCAGTGTTGATTAATGCAAATAATGCATATTAGAAAACATAATCCTAATTATACATACAAAACAATGGTGTCTAAATTAGCTGTTGCCACTGAAGATCTTGGAGTGATTGTGGATAGTTCTCTGAAAACATCTGTTCAATGTGCAGCAGCAGTCAAAAAGGCCAACAGAATATTAGGAACCACTAGGAAAGGGATATGTGCAGTTCTGGTTCCCCCATCTCAAAAAAGATATATTAGAATTGGAAAAGATACAGAGAAGGGCAACAAAAATGATTGGGAGATGGAACAGCTTCCATATGACGAGAGATTAAAAAGACTGGAACTGTTAATCTTGGAAAAGACACAACTAAGGATGGAGATTATAGAGGTCTATCAATTGTGACTGATGTGGAGAAAGTGAATAAGGAGGTGTTATTTCCCCTTCACATAGCACCAGAACCACATGTCACCCAACGAAATTAATAGGCAGCAGGTTTAAATCAAACATAAGGCAGTATTTCTTCACACAACACGTAGTCAACCTGTGGAACTTGTAGTCTGGGGATGTTTTGAAGCCCGCAAGTATAACTGGGTTCAAAAAAGATTTAGATGTGTTCATGGAGGATAGGTTAATCAATGGTTATTAGCCATGGTGGTCATGGGTGAAACCCCATGCTTTGGGTGTCCCTAAGCCTCTGGCTGCCAGATGCTGGGATTGAACAATAAGAGATGGATCACTCAATAATTGCCCTGCTCTATTAATTCCCTCTGAAGCACCTGGCACTGGGTACTGTCAGAAGACAGGATACTGAGCTAGATGGACCATTGGTCTCACCCAGTATGGCTAGTCTTTAATTCTTATGAGGAGCCTGGAGCAGAGGCTGACCTATTGCTCACAGATATTTTGATGCAGACTGAACACCTAGCTCAAATACATGTACTGCAAAGAGAATCTGTCACAGGTGCCCTATCTAAGGGCATTTCTACCATGGAGCTGGAGGTGTAATTTCCAGCTTGGGTAGATTTATACACACACTAGCTCAATCTAAAGTAGCATGCAAATAACTACTTGAGCTGGAAATTACACCTTCAGCTCCAGTGTAGTTGGGCCCTGAAAGCCAACAAGACCCAAGGCATAAGAGCTAGGCCTTTGGAGATGCTGGCTGTGCTCAGGGAGTGACTTTGGGGTGGCTGGGTTGGTTGCTGGGGGTCAGAATAAATGACATTTTCAAGGGCCAATGGGAGTTTGAGCTGCCAGCTGGAGCAATTGCAGGGCTGTGGACGTGCTTCCTGCTGTCCACTCACCAACCTTCCTTTACAAATTACCATCTCCAGGTCATGTCTCAGGGGAAAGATTTGCTCTGATGCAGTTGCTGAATCCTTGTCAGTCAATTCTTCTCCTACTGGTTGCATTCCTCCCAGAGATTAGCATATTTTTGATGCCTCATGAGTAATTCAGCCCTGAGTGTTAAGAATCCTTTGTGGTCTCTTGTTCCCAGGCAGAGCAGGTACTGGAGCAGTTCATGGACAGTAAGAAGGCAGAAGCTGCCACCATTGTCACGGCTGACAAAATGCTGACAGATGTACAAAAGCGCCTGGCGGGTAAGTTTCTGTGAAAAGATTTTAAGCGGATTCATTTCCGTATTGCAATAATTTCAAGAAAAAAACAATTATTCATATGATAGAGTTAAGGATGAGAATCCATGGCCAAACAGGGCTTCATAGCTGTCCCTATGATGAACACCACGACAATTTGGAACTCTCCCATTACAGGCTATGGGTTATTCTCAGTCACTCCAGCTGAAACTTCCACTTTGTATAAATTGTCACGTTGTCTGTCTGGAGTGGCTCACCACTGTGCATGCCAATCTCAAGGCAGACTGTCAGAAAACAGGGCAGAGATCCCACACTGGTGGTGTGTTCTGGAATTAGATTGCACCAAGCCAGTAACAAATGTCCACTCCTGGATCACTATACCAGCCTTACCATGGAGTCACAGACAGTCCGCTTAGACTCTCCAGTCTGTCTTGCCACCTAGACAACTGGACTTAGTGGTAATGGTCACACAAACCAAAAATCACACCACATCTTGTTTCTCCCAGTCCTAAAGACCAGTCACATACCCCAGATCAGTTGATACTCCAGACCTTGCACCACAGACAATGCTGGCAGCCAATTCCATAGTAAATTAACTAAAGGTTTATTAGCTAAGAAAAGGATATGAGAGTTACTGAGAGCTTAAAGCAGGTAAAATGTATTCACATGTGAGTCACAGTTTGTAATTCCAAGTGGTAACAGTGATGTAATGAACTGACAGTTTCCCAAAAGTCTTTCAGGGAACCCAGATGTCTCTGGGGATCTCCTCTTTGCATCTGGTACTCTTCCCTGTCAGAGTCCAAATAGTCCAGAGATGAAGGATCTTTCTTTGAATCCATATTTATAGTCTGTTCACACTGTTGAGCGGGCAATTTGACTAGATGACCTCCTGAGGTCATTTCCAACCCTAATATTCTATTATTCTAAAGCTAGCTGACAGCATCTCTACCCATGTGGGCCTTCCTTTGTTGACTGTGAATGAGGAATGCAGTTTGAGTCTGTGATTTCCAATCATCAGCATACTGGCCACTTGCTTTGAAATGTTTCAAAGTGAAAGCAGTATTATTCTGTATCAGCAAAAAGAACAGAAGTACTTGTGGCACCTTAGAGACTAACAAATTTATTTAAGCATAAGCTTTTGTGGGCTAAAATCCACTTAATTGGATGCATGCAGTGGAAAACACAGTAGGAAGATATATAAACACAGAGAACATAAAAGATGAGTGTTGCCATACCATCTATAATGAGAGTAATTAGTTAAGGTGGGCTATTGTCAGCAGGAGAAATAAAACTTCTGTAGAGATAATCAGGATGGCCCATTTCCAACAATTGACAAGAAGGTGTGAGTAAAAGTAGGGGGAATAGTTCTACTTTGTGTGATGACCCATCCACTCCCAGTCTTTATTCAATCCTAATTGAATGGTGTCTAGTTTGCAAATTAATTTCAATTTGGCAGTTTTTTGCTGGAGTCTGTTTTTGAAGTTTTTTTGTTGTAGTATTGCCACTTTTAGGTCTGTAATTGAGTAACCAGGGAGATTGAAGTGTTCTCCAACTGGTTTTTTAATGTTGTAATTCTTGACATCTGATTTGTGTCCATTTATTATTTTGTGTAGAGATTGTTCAGTTTGGCCAATGTCCATGGCAGAGGGGTATTGCTGGCACATGATGGAATATATCACATTGAACGAGCCTCTGACAGTGCGGCTGATGTGATTAGGTCCTATGATGGTGTCCCCTGAATAGATATATGGACAGAGTTGGCAACGGGCTTTGTTGCAAGGATGGGTTCCTGGGTTAGTTCTTTTGTTGTGTGATGTGTAGTTGCTGGTGAGTATCTGCTTCAGGTTGGGGGGGCTATCTGTAAGTGAGGACTGGCCTGTCTCCCAAGATCTGTGAGAGTGAGGGATCATCTTTCTGGATAGGTTGTAGATCCTTGATGATGCGCTGGAGAGGTTTTACATAGGGACTGAAGGTGATGGCTAGTGGTGTTCTGTTACTTTCTTTGTTGGGCCTATCCTGCAGTAGGTGACTTCTGGGTACTCTTCTGGCTCTGTCAATCTGTTTCTTCACTTCAGTAGGTGGGTATTGTAGTTGTAAGAATGCCTGATAGAGATCTTGAAGGTGTTTGTCTCTGTCTGAGGGGTTGGAGCAAATGTGGTTGTATCTTAGAGCTTGGTTGTAGAGAATGGATTGTGTGGTATGGTCTGGATGGAAGCTGGAGGCATGTAGGTAAGTATAGAAGTCAGTAGGTTCCTGGTATAGGGTGGCGTTTATGTGACCATCACTTATTAGCACTGTAGTGTCCAGGAAGTGGATCTCTTGTGTGGACTGGTCCAGGCTGAGGTTGACAGTGGGATGGAAATTGTTGAAATCATGGTGGAATTTGTCAAGGGCTTCTTTTCCATGGGTCCAGATAATGAAGATGTCATCAATGTAGCACAAGTAGAGTAGGGGCGTTAGGGGACGAGAGCTGAGGAAGCATTGTTCTAAGTCAGCCATAAAAATGTTGCCATACTGTGGGGCCATGTGGGTACCCATAGCAGTGCCACTGACTTGAAGGTATACATTGTCCCCAAATGTGAAATAGTTGGGGGTGAGGACAAAGTCACAAAGTTCAGCCACCAGGTTTGCTGTGATATTATCAGGATACTGTTCCTGGTGGTTTGTAGTCCATCTTTGTGTGGAATGTTGGTGTAGAGGGCTTCTACATCCACAGTGACCAGGATGGTGTTTTCTGAAAGATCACCAATGGATTGTAGTTTCCTCAGGAACTCACTGGTGTCTCAAAGATAGCTAGGAGTGCTGGTAGCGTAGGGCCTGAGGAGAGAGGACCTGTGGGAGTTCTGTTGGAGGAGAAGGTTTTTGTATTTTGTGTATTTTTTTTTTGTAGTTTTATGTATGGAGGCTGGTAGGGGCAGTGTGCTGGGAGAGAAGCTGAGCCCTGATTAGGGGTTTGGGCTTCTCTGCTTAGGGGTCCTATAAAGGTTGCCAGCCAGTCAGGCAGCGGCATAGACAGCTGCAGCGGCACAGGAGCCTGCAAACAGAGCTGTAAACAGGGGAGTTTCAGTGGGAGTTTGCAAGGGGAGTTTCTGGGGGACACTAAGAGAGCTAGGCAGAGGAATAAACAGTCTAGTGAAGGGAGGGGGTGATGGTGTGCCAGTGGTTTGGTGCTTGCTGTGTGTGTGTTTTTTCCCCCTCTTTCTCTGTGGGTGGAGGTGGTTTGGTTTGTGTTTCCCGGCCTAGCAGGTTTTAGGTGGGAAGGCTGTGACTGATACAGAGGCAGCAGTGGAAGACACAATGAGGATGACTGGATGTGGAAGCTGCGGCATGTACATGATCCTGGAGGGGGTATCTGAAAAGAGTTTCATCTGCATAAAGTGCCGCCTGATAGAGCTGATGGAAGAAAAGATCTGATTATTGGAGATGCAGGTGGAAACTCTGGTCGAGTTTAGAAGGGGGTTTGAGCAGATGATGGAGCAAAGACATGAGGAGGCTGAAGGAAAAAGCTCAGACTTGCAGACAGAAACAGGACCCAAGAATTCTGAGGGGAGACTGCTGGGTGAGGAAAGTGGACAGTGGAAGCATGTGACTAAGAGAACCAGGCAGAGGAAGAGACGGGCTACTGAAGGAGAAATAGAGCTCAGGAACAGGTTTTCAGAGTTGGGAAATGAAGAAGGGGCACAGCAGGTGGTCGCTGAAGGTGAGAGGGCAAGGAAGAAGAGAAGAGCAGCTAGTCCTATAGGAAGAGGGGAAGAGTCAATGGAAATAACAACATCAAATATGAGCCCCAGGAGGATATGAGATGGGTTGCGGAGGATTGCAAGGGAAAATAGAAATCGAGAGGACTTGCAGCCAGAGGGAGCAGGGGATAGACCGGAGAATTGCACCGTTACCAGGAAAAGGCAGGTCTACGTGACTGAGGACTCCTTACTGAGAAGAATAGACAGGCCTGTAACTAGAGCTGATCCAGAGAACAGAAGAGTGTGCTGTCTGCCGGGTGCTAAGATACGGGATGTGGACCTGAGGCTGAAAAGAATCCTAACAGGAGCGGGAAAGAATCCGCTAATTGTCCTTCATGTGGGAACAAATGATACAGCGAGATTCTCGCTAGAACATATCAAGGGAGACTATGCTAGGCTGGGGAAGACGCTTAAGGAAATCGAGGCTCAGGTGATCTTCAGTGGGATTCTGTCTGTTCCTAGAGAAGGGCAACAAAGGTGTGACAAGATTATGGCGATCAACAGATGGCTCAGGCAGTGGTATGTATGGCCACAGGGAAGCATTCATGGACAGAGGATTGTTCTCTCGGGATGGACTTCACCTGAGTAAGGAGGGAAATAGACTTCTAGGATGGAGGCTGGCACAACTGATTAAGAGAGCTTTAAACTAGGAATTTGGGGGAGATGGTTGGGAGATGTCCAGGTAATCTCCACGCCAGAATTTAACATTGATAAGGAAGAAAACAAAGTAAGAAAGGCTACAGCCATGGTTATGAGAATGGACGTAAGGAGGAAGGGTTGTGTAGATACCAGTCTAATAGGTGATACTGGCAGTAGAATGTCTGTGCCTAATCGGGTAAAGAATGTCAGTGAAACCAAACGGCAAAAATTAAGATGTTTGTACAATAATGCGAGGAGCCTAGGTAACAAAATGGAGGAACTAGAGCTACTGGTGCAGGAAGTGAAACTAGATATTATAGGGATAACAGAAACATGGTGGAATAGTAGTCATGACTGGAGTACAGGTATTGAAGGCTATGTGCTGTTTAGGAAAGACAGAAATAAAGGCAAAGGTGGGAGAGTAGCATTGTATATCAATGATGAGGTAGACTGAAAGAAATAAGAAGTGATGGAATGGATAAGACGGAGTCTGTCTGGGCAAAAATCACATTGGGGAAGAAAGCTACTAGAGCCTCCCCTGAGATACTGCTTGGGGTGTGCTACAGACCGCCGGGATCTGATTTGGATATGGATGGAGACCTCTTTAATCTTTTTAATGAAGTAAAC